GTATACAAAGCAAAGTATTGCTCCTCGGGTGTGACACTCATCACAGGTGTCTTAGACTCAGGTGGTGGTGTGACACTCATCACAGGTGTCTTATTAGACTCAGGTGGTGGTGTGACACTCATCACAGGTGTCCTAGACTCAGGTGGTGGTGTGACACTCATCACAGGTGTCCTAGACTCAGGTGGTGGTGTGACACTCATCATAGGTGTCTTATTAGACTCAGGTGGTGGTGTGACATTCATCACAGGTGTCTTATTAGACTCAGGTGGTGGTGTGACACTCATCACAGGTGTCCTAGACTCAGGTGGTGATGTGACATTCATCACAGGTGTCTTATTAGACTCAGGTGGTGGTGTGACACTCATCACAGGTGTCTTATTAGACTCAGGTGGTGGTGTGACACTCATCACAGGTGTCTTATTAGACTCAGGTGGTGGTGTGACACTCATCACAGGTGTCTTATTAGACTCAGGTGGTGGTGTGACACTCATCACAGGTGTCTTATTAGACTCAGGTGGTGGTGTGACACTCATCACAGGTGTCTTATTAGACTCAGGTGGTGGTGTGACACTCATCACAGGTGTCTTATTAGACTCAGGTGGTGGTGTGACACTCATCACAAGAGTCTTAGCCTCATTTTCTTCCCTCTTCTTTTCCCTCCCATCTGTCTAACTTCCCCCCCCTTTTGTTTTTCATTATATTCCTCAGGCTATATATAGACTTTTGGGCTCAAGAAATCCTTCTGCCTCATCCTCCTAGGCGGCTAAGACAACAGGATCATACCAACTGTTACGACTTTTAAAATTATTTTGGGTTCCTTGTTTCTTTGCTTTTCTATCTCTTGTCAGGGCTTAATAATCCCAGCACTGTGGAAGCACAGGGCTGAGGGCAGAGGGCATAGGCAGACAGATTGCCGGAAATCTCAGTCCAGCCTGGTCTACACAGTGAGTGCCAGGCCAGCCAGACTCTGTCTTAATAAACAAGCTTGCTCACTCTGAGGGAGGATAACAGCTGCTGTTCAACTTGACCCAATGGCCCTAGTTTTTCCTATGGTATAGACACTGATCCAGAGGCCTAAAAATATCAGGTTCTAATTTGACAAGGATTTTAAAAATTAATTATTTTTTTGTTTTGTTTTTTTAGGCAGGGTTTCTCTGTATTGTTTTGGAGGCTGTCCTAGAACTCGCTCAGTAGACCAGGCTGGTCTCGAACTCAGAGATTCGCCTGCCTCTGCCTCCCGAATTCTGGGATTAAAGGCGTGTGCCACCAATGCCCAGCTAAAATTAATTTTTATTTAAATTTAAACAATTTTATTTTACATACCAATCCCAGTTCCCTCTCCCTCCTGTCCTCCTGCTCCCCCCACCATCCCCCATCCACTCCTTAGGGAGGGTGAGGCCTCCCATGGGGGATCATCAAAGTCTGTCACATCATTTGGGGGAGGGCCTAGGCCCTCCCCCCTGTATCTAGGCTGAGAGAGTATCCCTCCATAGGGAATGGGCTCCCAAAGCCCATTCATGCACTAGGGATAAACACTGGTTGTACTACCAGAGGCTCCATAGACCTCCCAAGTCCCCCAACTAACACCCATGTTCAGGGAGCCTGGTTGGGTTCTGTGCTGGCTCTCCAGCTGTCAGTCTGGGGTCCGTGAGCTCCCACTCGATCAGGTCAGCTGTCTCTGTGGGTTTCCCCAGCATGGTCTCGACCCCTTTGCTCATCACTCCTCCCTCTCTATGACTGGACTCCAGGAGTTCTGCTCAGTGCTTAGCTGTGAATCTCTGCTTCTGCTTCCATTGACAAGGATTTTCAAAAGGCGGCACACACATAGTTCCTTGTGTGTCCTCTCAGTGAAACCTGTTATGTTCGGTTGTCTCCATTTTAGTTAGCCACAGTTTTCTGGCACTGTGACAAATTTCTGTTGCTACTGATAATCTAGTTTTAGTATTTCAGTACAGTATGCAAAATGGTGATTTTTCTAATTCTACCATTCTTTCTGTTTTTAATCAACTGGAACTTTTCACATCTTCATGGTGGTTTTTAAATGCAAAAATAACCAGATGGATGTTTTATGTGACGAGTATATATTTGGTATGCCAATACATACTAGTCATTAATATTTTTAAAGTTCATGTTATTCCTTATGAGCCAAGTGGGAATCCCCGCATCTTAGCTTCTGTGTCTTTGTTACATAATCACTTAAAAATGATGATAGTTCATAATTAACTCAGGAATCTATTACTTCCTGTCCCAGTATGGAATCATCCATTTATCCAAGACCCTGTCATTCCATTTGGTGGAAAATGTTATTTCGAGACCATAGGTTGGATGTCAAGGCGATCATTTTTATGGGGTTTCTAGATACTTTTATCAGACAAAATTTGTTTACAGTTTGTAGAAAGAAGAAATGAATCTCATGAAACCTTGTTTGCATTTCCAAAGCGAACTGAAGACAGGATTTTAATTAACTTCTTTCATATTATATGAAAACATTTGTATCGTTCCATGTCAGGGCTCAGATAAAGCATACCCAGAGCAGTCTTGTTTGTCTGTCTGTCCATCCACCCTGATCTCTCCTTCTCTCATAGGAGACCCTCTTATTTAATCCGTGAATCTGCTTTTGTAAAATATAACCTAGCCTATAATGCATGCATGTATGTGCACGTGTAAACAGCTGTACGTAGGAACGTTGTGTCTCATCCAGAAAGAAGATCGAGAAAGATCAAGGGCCAGGAGCAAGGTGGGAATTCAGGATTATGCTGGTTTAGTAAATTACAGGTTGTAGATCCTCCTCCAATAACCATGACTTCACTAGCTTAGTTGAATAGTCAACTAGGTTTCTAGTACCAGTCATGGTATCCCTCTTGCCGAGCAGGTCTTAAGTACAATCAGAAAGCAATTGGTTACCACCAAGGCGCATGTGCCATTATAATGTGCCATTATATTGCACCCTTAGTGTTATGCTGGCACTGAGCCCTGATGTGATTTGTAGATGTCATAGCTGGGTAAGACTGTTGGTGACTCCCTCCTCTGGAGGCTTGCATGGTGCCTTCTGGTACTGTGTAAGCTTGTCCTCAGGGAGGGGGCATTCAGGTTAGTGCCAGTTCATTGGTCTCTGTTCCCTATGTCTCAAGTGCATGGTGTCTTCTGCAACAGGGATTTATTTACCTCTTCCACCTCTTAACCAAGGGCAACGGCAAAAGCCTGAATGATCTGGGAATCTCTTCGACAGCCCTGGGCAATAACACAAAAGATGGCGTCTCGTGTTTGGTATTGGGATTTTTTTTTTGTGAGATGGTCTTTGGCTCTTGGAGGGAGCATTGTCAATCCAAATATGTGTGTATAGTTATATATGTAAATATATGTGTACATTTACATGTGTATAATACATGGGATTACATGTATTGTCTTTTTTTATTTTTTAAGTAAATAGTAGGATTCTTTGCAGCCCTTTTGTAATTTTATTCATCTCCCACTTCTATATTTACTTCCCTCTCCCTCCCCTAAAGAACACCCCCTTTCCCATTTTCCCACTAGGTGGCTTCCAGCCTGCTATTCTCCCCTCTGTTGCTTCCCAATCCTTCTATCCTGGCAATGGTCCTGTTGACTTTCCTGGTTTCTAGGGCTACTACAGGCCATGAACTCACATCTGATGATTTGGAACTAGGAGTCTCCAACAAGTGAGAGCATGTGACATTTGCCTTTGGAGTCTCTGGGTTACCTCACTCAGTGTAATTTTTTCTAGTTCCGTCAGTGGGTGCGCGTGCGTGCATATCTAACTTCACTGAAGTTCACTGAAGTACGTGGTCTGAGACTAGGCAAGCGTTCATTCTTAGTGGCTACCTTAATCTAGCCGAGTGACGCTTTTAATTGTGAATTGCAATAAAGTGATTATTTGCCCTTCTTACACAGTCAATAGTAGACAATTGACACTATTTCGTAACCTAGTGCTCTCACTATTTCTTTTTAACTTGGTAATGTAGCCTAGCGATTACTCCAGGGAAACATACACTTTGTACACTGTTGTGTGACTGTACTAGAATGTATTCAACAAATCCTCAGTTGATGGGTATTGAGGTGTGTTTTTTTCTAGTTGTTTTCAATTACAAATGATTAATCACCTCATATGTAATGCGGTCTCACAGTTTTTTGCAAGTGTGTTTTTATGTAGAAGGATTTGCATTAAAAATTGCCCCACTTTTATTACCTGTGGCAGTGAGAGCCTTTATTCACCGAACCACCTCCTGGGCCTCCTGGGTTGTGAGCCTTTACAGCTGAGCTGTATCGCAGCAGCCCCAGCGCTCATATTTTAAACAGGCATGGCAATGCTTCTGAACAGGTGGTTTAGATCTGTGCATTGAGAAATCATGGTATAGAACGGTGCTTTGAGAGGTGGGGGGGGGTGAATCACTGAAGCAATTTAATAGCTTGCAATTAGGACTTTAAAAACCAAGTGTGGGCTGGGGCATTGGAGGCACACACCTTTAATCCCAGCACTGGAGAGGCAGAGGTGGGCGGATCTCTGTGAGTTCGAGGCCAGCCTGGTCTACAATTCTAGGACAAACTCCAAAGTTACAGAGAAACCCTGTCTCCAACAACAGCAGCAACAAAAAGCCAAGTGTGGCAAAAACTGACTTGAAAACAATTGTGATAATAAGACTAAAGGCTATTTCCTTAAACTTTCACTCCATTTACTTGTGAAACTGGAGGGAATTGGGTATGAACTAAGTTGTGAGGTAAAGTGTGTTTGTTATTCTGGTTTGAATAACTTTGTAAGAAAGAACTTCCCGACTGCTAAACAGTAGTTGAAATATTAAGGAAGGCATTTCAGTAGGGGTACTACCTGACAGGGTCTCATAGAATGTGCACAGGCACCAAGATAGAATGTTTCTCAGGTGGGCGAAATATACGAAGGGATTGAAAAGGAACAATGAAAAAAACTAAGAAAGCAGACGTGTGAAATGCATCTATAAGCAATGAAACCTTGAGATAGAGCAAAAATTAGGAGTTATCACTTCATATCAACTACCCCCCCACATCAGCTACCACACCTCCACAACTACCATACCCACATCAGCTACCACACCCCACATCAGCTACCACACCCACATCAACTACCACACCCACATCAGCTACCACACCCACATCAGCTACCACACCCACATCAGCTACCACACCCCACAACTACCACACCCACATCAGCTACCACACCCACATCAGCTACCACACCCACATCAGCTACCACACCCACATCAGCTACCACACCCATCAACTACCACACCCACATCAGCTACCACACCCCACAACTACCACACCCACATCAGCTACCACACCCACATCAACTACCACACCCACATCAACTACCACACCCACATCAACTACCACACCCACATCAGCTACCACACCCACATCAGCTACCACACCCCACAACTACCACACCCACATCAGCTACCACACCCACATCAGCTACCACACCCACATCAGCTACCACACCCACATCAGCTACCACACCCATCAACTACCACACCCACATCAGCTACCACACCCCACAACTACCACACCCACATCAACTACCACACCCCACATCAACTACCACACCCACATCAGCTACCACACCCCACATCAGCTACCACACCCACATCAACTACCACACCCCACAACTACCACACCCACATCAGCTACCACACCCACATCAGCTACCACACCCCACAACTACCACACCCACATCAGCTACCACACCCCACATCAACTACCACACCCCACATCAGCTACCACACCCCACATCAGCTACCACACCCACATCAACTACCACACCCCACAACTACCACACCCACATCAGCTACCACACCCACATCAACTACCACACCCACACATCAACTACCACACCCACACATCAGCTACAATATCCCCACATCAACTACCCTTCCCCTCACATTAACCATACCCTCCACCAACCATAACCCCCACATCAACAACTACCATGCCTTCACCAACATTTTTGGAGACAAGATTTCATGTAGGTCAGGATGGCCTTGGCTGACTTGCGTGTAGAAAGGATGACCTTGGCTTCTGAGCCTCTTGACTCTACCTCCGAAGCTCAGGGATGACAGGCAGGTGCTATTGTGCTCCGTTTAAGCAGGACCAGGGATCAAGACACACTTTCGCCCACACTAGCCTAGTACTCTATCGACTGAGCTCCATTGCTGCCCCCAGATCCCTTTAAAGAGAGTGATTTAGTTTATTGTTAGATAACCGGATTTTTACATTTATTCTCTCTGTGTAGGCTTTGAAACATCTGTTCACCAGCAGGAGCACTGGCATTGGAAGGAAAGGACGTCGGCTGACAACAGACGATCTAGAAGCTTACATCTATGTCTTCTCACAGCCCGGGGCACTAAGTGGTCCAATTAACCACTATCGAAACATTTTCAAGTCAGTATAACTCATGTGGGGTTAAGGGAGACACCTCAATCTAAAGAGATAATACTTATTTTATCTTATTTTGGATTAAGGTTGCCACTTATTCCCCAGACACGTCACATTCTTGTGTGTGTGTGTGTGTGTGTGTGTGTGTGTGTGTGTGTGTGTGTGTGATGTGCTGATGGGAAATCTTCTGTGTGTGTGTTCATCCGTCTTCATGTCTTCTGTGTGTGTGTGTGTGTGTGTGTGTGTGTGAGAGAGAGAGAGAGAGAGAGATGAGAGAGAGAGAGAGAGAGAGAGAGAGAGAGAGAGAGAGAGAGAGAGAGAGAGAGAGAGAGAGAGATGTGCTGATAGGGAATGTTCTTCTGTGTATGTGTTCATCTTATTGGTTGATGAATAGAGCACTGCTGGCCAATAGGGCAGCAAGATAGGTGGGACTAGGATATGAGGAGGATTCTTGGAAAGGTAAGCAGAGAGGAGTTGTCACGTGATCCCAGGAAGTGATGTAGCTGGACAGAAACTTGCCACTAGCTAACCATAGGGGTCTGGAGATCTGTACAGACATGCAGGAAGTGACATAGCTGGGCAGAATCAGGGTATAAGCAGGGACAAACAGGAAATCGCTCCCTTTTCTGCGGGAGACGCTGAGCAGTCATCGTGTGGCAGGTATAGGAGTTGCAGGTCCATCATTCCCCGGTAAGTTAAGACCACGTGGAAATACTTAGATTAATAGAAATGGGTTAATAATTAAGATAGAGCTGGCCAATAAGAAACCCTAATCAACGGCCAATAGCTTTATAACTAATATAGCATCTAAGTGCTTCTTTGGGACAGAGAAAGGCAGCAGGACCTGCCAGGACAGAAAACTCGTGCCTACAATGTACTATATGGTGCCCATGTGGCTGAAAGAGGACAACCTTGGGTGTCAGTCTTCTGTCACCTTGTTTGAAACAGAGTCTGTTTTTCTTCTACATACCCCAGACTAATTGACCCACGAGCTTCCAGGGACCCTCTATAGGAATGCTAGGATTACAGATGTTATACTACCTGTAGATTTTTTTTTTTTTGGTTTTTCGAGACAGGGTTTCTCTGTATTGTTTTGGAGGCTGTCCTGGAACTAGCTCTGCAGACCAGGCTGGCCTCGAACTCACAGAGATCTGCCTGCCTCTGCCTCCCAAGTGCTAGGATTAAAGGTGTGCGCCACCAACGCCCGGCTCTACCTGTAGATTTAAACTCAGGTCTTCATACTTGTGTAGGCATCACTGAGCCATCACTCCTCCAGCCCAAATTCCAATATTCTCATTCTTTTAATACGTTCCCCTCATAGAAAATATAAAACATGGAAAAGTAGAGAATAATGTAATAGGTCTCCCATGTGGCTATTGCTCGTTTAATCCATAATTCCACCCGCTTATTTTTTTCCCTTTTGAGTGGACTCATTTTTTTTTTTTACTGTAATGATTTTGTATTAATTCACCCAAGAAAAGTTTTAAAGAACATTTTGTGTCCTGGGCTGTCGGCACTCAAGGCACAATGTTGAGTGAAACAAGGCAAGGACCTGACCTTGCAAACTTTGCCCCATGTAGAGGAGACAGACATTAAAATGAATAACCGCCGTAATGAATCCATGTAAGCTACAAACACAGAAGTTTTGCAACAGAGAGGTGAGAAGTGTTTGAACATGGAAGACCAAGACAAGGCGAGAAGGCTAGGAAGAGGAAACAGCAGGGACTCAGGTTGCGTGGGAAATGGACACGGGACTTCACGTAGCACAAGCGTGTCCAATCAGTGGGGCAGGAGTACAGGATTGTGAGGACAACAGTGAAAGGAGGGGAAAGAACAGGAGTAGACTGTTTTCAGTATTTTTTAAACCAGTATTTGTAAGGGGTGGGATATCAATTCAAAATGAAGTGGGGTGGGGGGGTGAGAGCGTAATAAAATAAGATAACCAAAAACAACATAGCAACCAGACATGGTGATGCATGGTGTGTAATCCTAGCACTGGAGAGGCTGAGGCAGGAGGATCATAAATCCAAGGCCAGCCTGAGCTACACAGTAAAATCTAAACAAACAAGAAATTCAGTATGTTGGGTGTCTTTGTCAGATTACTCTGACAAAAGCTCCCAGTACCAGGTGACAAAGGACCAAGAAGTGCCCACCCCAAGGAAAGTGTGTTTTAAGTGGCCATAAGAGGAAAAACATCATCTTTCTGTCCTTCCAAAGTTCAGTTTTGTAAAAGCTAAAGATGGCTGGTTTTGTCTGTGAGTGTGTGTATAGGTGTGCATGTTCCTGAGTATTGAGGGCAGCCTGGGGAGTCCCCCCTCAGGGCCATGCACCTTGCTTTTTGAGCTGGTTTCTTGCTGCGTAGCTGGGATTTGAGGATTAGAACAGGCTCCAGCTCAACAGACCCTAGAGAACTCCCTGCCATGGCCAATCCCTCCGCTGCTTTTTACCGGGCACTGGAGATGCAGGTCAGCTCTTCACTGACAAACTTTTATTTAGATTTTTTTTTTCTTGTTCAAGGGGTTGTTAATTTGTTTTGAGATAGGGTCTCAGCTTTGGCCCTTGCTGTCCTGGAATTCACTATGTAGCACAGGTTAGCCTTGAAGTGATGCCCGGCTTCTGCCTCTTGAGTACCGACGTCAGGTTCACCGACACACTCAGCGTAACGGGGGCAGTTCGTCTGCCGAGTGTGGCGCTTCAAAGCCACTCAGCATTATCATTATCCAAGGGAGCTCTTAAAGACATCCCCTCCCCCAAATCACCTTGCCCCGTGAAAGTTACGTATGTACACTTTGCACGTCCATGTTTTATTAGCGAAACATGAGGCTCTTCTATCCTCCCAAACGCCAGCTTTCGCCCCTTTACGGAGAGGTGGTATTGTGTCCTTTGAGGATGTGCAGTCCCCGTGGGACATTGTGGATTATGCTGCTCAGACTTTCCGGATGACTCCAACGTGCTCTGGTTTTTACAGCTGCCTGCCTCTCAAGCACCATGTGGTGACCACCCCGACCCTGCTCCTGTGGGGGGAGGAAGACGCGTTTATGGAGGCCGAGATGGCTGAAGTCACAAAGATGTACGTTAAGAACTGTTTCAGGCTCACCGTCTTGTCAGAAGGTAGCCACTGGCTTCAGCAAGACCAACCTGACACGGTGAACAGGCTGATCTGGGCATTCCTCAGGGAAGAGAGGAGAGAATGACTTGATCTCCTGTGAGGAGTCTACAGTGGAACCCTGAAAAGCTTAAGACTCATTCATCAGCTTGAGTTTTATCAGGAAAAAAATGCCTGTTTTAATGTGCTCGATCATAAATAAATAGAGTGAGACATGGTATTGAGAGAAAAAATATATGTAATTTTTTTTCATTGTCTGTATCTGCACAGAAAAAACCACCTGCCATAAAACACACAGTTGTACAAAAAGGCAATTGGGGAAAATGCCTCATGTTTGGCTTCTTGTTTTCTCTGTTATATTAACATACAATGCCTTTTACTAACATACATGAATATGAGCTGTGCCATGTAAAGGGCAGGTCTGTAATGGCAAACATTTTAATTTCATTGGTTTGTGTGTGTTTGTGTGTGTGTGTGTGTGTGTGTGTGTGTGTGTGTGTGTGTGTTTGGAGGGGGTGTTCCGAGTCTGGGTTTCTCTGTGTAACTTTGGAGGCTGTCCTGGAACTAGCTTCTATAGACCAGGCTGGTCTGGAACTCACAGAAATCCGCCTGCCTCTGCCTCCCGAGTCCTGGGATCAAAGGTGTACACCACCACCAGCAGCTTAATTTCATTGATAAAGCACTCCTCTCTACTAGTTTTTTTTAAAGCAAATAAAAGTCCCATCATCAACTCGGATTTATAATATATAAATGAATTTGAAGGTAAACTTAGCTAAATGAGTATTTCTGAAAATGGATCTTAAGTTCTATTTGTTATGAATGGTTAAGTATTTGAAACTGTTGCAAGCTACATCAACCAAGTAGGAAAATACCTTTTAACCCTTTCAATGCAGTAAGAAATGAATACTGTAATTCCTTTGTACACTAGAATCCAGGTTTTACAGGACAAGACTTTTACGTTTTTTCATTGTCTAGAATAAAAAGACCTGCTGCATTGTAGACATGCAGATCGTTTCTTACCGAATAAATGCAGTCTCAAGACACCAGTAGACCCCAAACTGTAGATGGACCAAACCCTGTCTGATAAATACCTTTCCCATCTTAAGTCCTCACCGTGGGCTCTGGCTGTAACTTTTCCAGTCTGAGGTGTGGTGCTCAAATTAGCATTGATGTCTTTTTCTCCCTTGTATTTTCACTGTATCTATTTTTTCATTTGTCATGGAAAACATCCACCTTTTCAATTAAAAGTTGTACTTGTGGCTTCTCTTTGGCATGTTTGGGGCCATTAGTGAGTGAAATGAACTAACACTGGGAAAAATACAGATTTTATTTTACACAAGTTCTGCTCATCGGGGCAGTCAGTCTCAAAGTTGAGTAGAGAGAGGCACATTCATCCCAACTATCCTGGACAGAGATGGATTATGTCCCTCAACAGTGGGAGATTTTTATCACACCACTCAGACTATTGTACAATTTAAAACGTTTATGCATTATTTTTTTCTGTGATTTTTACTTAATATTTTTAAACCCTGGTGGACCACAGGTAACTGAAACCATGAAGGAGGGGGCTGACTACTACAATGTTATAGTCAAATATTATATATACCTCATCAGGCATATGAAATATAAAAGATGGTGTGACGACTTTTTCTAAGAACCGTATACATAATGCAATTAAAGAAAGCTGAAGCTGGGCATTGGTGGCACACACTTTTAGTCCCAGCACTTGGGAGGCAGAGGCAGGTGGATCTCTGTGAGTTTGAGGCCAGCCTGGTTTACAGAGCGAGTTCCAGGACAGCCAGGGCTACACAGAGAAGAAACCCTGTCTCGAAAAACCAAAAAAAGAAAGCTGAAAGAGAGAGGGGCTGGCGAAATGGAGAACCAGCAGTTAAAAGCACTGGCTGTTCTTCCAGGAGGACCCACATGGCAGCTCACACCGGCCTGTAACTCCAGTTCCAGGGGATCTGACATCCTCACACTAATGCACATAAAATAAAAAAATTAGTAGATTATTTTTAAAAAAAGAAAGAAAGCTGAAAGAGTAGAAATGAACATTGTAGCGTAGGAAGTCACAGAAGAAGGACCAGTGTGGCTCGAGTCACTACTGCTCACTGTCTCAGGATGTCCTCGTTGGAAAAGTAGACAATTACAAGCCCATGGCAGGTCACAGCACCTTAGTGACGTTTCCTTCATTACAGACATCCTGATAGTGACAGGAGAGTGTGGAGTGTCCTCAGAATTCTCATTGTGCCATGGCAACCTCTCTGTACAATAAAAGCTCATCTGTTTATGAATGTTAGGCTGGAGCCGCAAAACAAGATTACAAGGTAGGGAGTATCACCAGTTGAAAGACAGGAGAGTAAGTTTTAACATGTACCTTCGCCAATTCCCCATGTGTCAAGTGTCAATGTTGGCACCTGGAAATGGCCTTCCACTTAGCTCTCTCCTTGCTTATCAAGTTGGTATTCTTAACACTCTTCCTGTTGTAGGGCCAACCGAATATACGTCAATAGATGGAAACTCAGGGGCCTAGACAATCATTTTAGTTCTGCGAAAAGGGTCAGATTAGAAACTAGCAAACACAGTAGGAACCCTCAACACAGCACGTCTGAGTCACGAATGCCACTAGGTCTAGAAGAAAGCCTTGTCCGCAATAAGCCGGCTTCCCTCTTCATGATGTCCCAAGGACAATAACAAAGAAGGAGCATGTCCTGGAGACTATGGTGACTCAGTAGAGTAGATCTCGTTTTAATCAAAGCCTGCTTACTGACCAAGTTGACTTTACCGCTTTTTTCTCATGTAGTATCATTTTAGAGTGTTGACTGGTCCGTATAGACTAATACTAACATTATAAACCCCACATGCCATGGTCAATTCTGGCCTATTAGAATTAATGCACTCTAATTTTTCCTTTTAAAATTATTATTATTATTATTACTATTACTTTAGTTTTTTGAGACAGGGTTTCTCGTGTAACAGCTCTGATTGTCCTGGAACTCGCTCAGTAGACCAGGCTGTTCTGGAACTCACAAAGATCGGCCTGCCTCTGCCTCCCGGGTGCCATGATTAAGTGTGTGCCATCACCGCCTGCCTTCAGTTATTAATTAATATTAATTTACTTTTTTGGTTTTTCAAGACAGGGTTTCTCTGTATTGTTTTGGAGGCTGACTTCAAACTCACAGAGATCCGCCTGCCTCTGCCTCCCGGGTGCTGGGATTAAAGGCGTGTGCAACCAACGCCTGGCCCAATTATTAATTTCCTAAGTGATGGGTTTCATTACGACATTTCGCTCGTCTATGTCATACGTGTTTTCTCATTCATTCTCCTCCTCGACCACTCTCTCCATCCCCTTAGCCCCCCACTTCCTGCTGGTCCCCTTTCTTCCCCACGAAGTCCCTCTACTCTCAAGTCACAGAGTCCATGAATCTTTCTTCCCCACCTCTCCCTCTCTTAAAATCTATTCCTCCCTAAATCTCTGTGTGTGTGGGAAAGTGCTCACAGCGCAAATGTTTGAGGGGCCACTGCTTAGCCTAAAGTGCTATCTATGACCATCACCAAAGAAATCCATCTTTAGGGACAATGGATGAATCTCACTAGCTTTCAAAGCAGCCCATAGCAAATTTTACCGACATTATTACTTAAATTTGAAAGTTACAATTAGTATTTACTCGTTCAAATCACTATCTCCTTAGTGAGCATATATGAATAACAGAAGTACCGGAAACTGTTATGTGAAAATTGTTTAACCATATACGTCAAAAACAAAACACCCCGTGATCCTTCTCTTGATGAGACCCTAATCCCACTGTGATTTTTTTCTTCTTCTTCTTCTTCTAATTTTAAAGGTGACGCGTCGTTTCCCATTAACCAACAGTTTTGGCTGTAAGGGTGCCAGCCATGTGCAAACGGAAATAGTACTTGAATGTGGGGGGAAGGGAGGCTCAAATACTGAGAAGCAGGCTTCATGGCTCATCTGTCCGATGGCAAACTGAGCACAGACACCACTGAGTTTGAGGTGTTGGAGAGCAGGACTAACTGGAGGGCCAACAGGTCCTCCTTATACCCTCCTGCAGTGGACAACCCCTTCATGCAGCAGACCCACTTCAGTGCCTGGCGCTGGGCCTGCACCATCCTGCTGGGGACCGTGCTGGTGCCTGTGCGCGTGTCCTGCATAGCCTTCCTCTTCGTGTTTCTGTGGCCTATGGCCACGCTCACCACCATCAACTTGCCTCTTCAACCTGTCAAACCCATGGCGAGTTGGAGGAAACATCTGATGAAGCCGGCCCTCCTGTTCTTGTTCCGTATGACGTTCTTTCTTGCCGGGTTCCTGGTTAAGGTGAAAGGCAAGAAGGCCAGCAGAGAGGAGGCCCCCATCTTCGTCACGGCGCCACACTCCACCTTCTTTGACGCAGTCGCCGTGGTTGTGGCCGGGCTCCCTTCGGTGGTCTCTGCCAGTCAGAACGCACACATCCCGCTGGCTGGGAAATGCCTCCTGTCGACTCAGCCGGTGCTTGTGAAACGAGAAGACCCGAATTCCAGAAAGACTACCCGGGATGAAATCCTGGCTCGAGTGACGTCGGAAATGAAGTGGCCACAGGTTCTGATTTTCCCGGAAGGGGTGTGCACCAACCGCTCCTGTCTCATCACTTTTAAACTAGGAGCTTTCTCTCCGGGTGTCCCCGTGCAACCAGTGCTGCTCAGGTACCCCAACACAGTGGACACGGTGACCTGGACCTGGCAGGGGTTCACCAGCTTCCAGGCATTTATGCTAACGCTGAGTCAGCCCTTCACTAGAGTGGAAGTTGAATTCATGCCTGTTTATATCCCAAGCGAAGAGGAGAAGAGAAACCCTATCCTGTTTGCCAACACGGTCCGCATCAACATGGCAAATGCTTTGCAACTCCCTGTGACGGATCACACCTTTGAAGATTGCAGACTGATGATTTCCGCAGGCGCCCTGCAATTACCCATGGAAGCTGGCTTGGTGGAATTCACAACCATCAGTCAGAAATTGAAATTGGATTGGGACAATATCCACAAGCACCTGGACAGATATGCTGAGATTGCAGTCGCCTCAAAAGGAGGCAAGATTGGAATCGAAGAGTTTTCACGTTATTTAAAACTCCCAATTTCAGAGCCCCTGGAGCAGCTTTTCTCTCTCTTTGACAGGAATCAAGACGGCACCATAGACTTCCGGGAGTACGTGATAGGCCTAACTGTCCTGTGCAACCCTTCCAACACGGAGAAGATTTTGCAAATGTCGTTTAAGCTGTTTGATCTTGATGAGGACGGCTACATCACAGAACAAGAGTTAACAACGATACTCCGGGCCGCTTTTGGAGTGCCAGACCTGGACGTTTCCACGCTCTTTCAGCAGATGGCTGGCAAGGATTCAGTTAGCGTTTCGTACACGACCTTTAGGAAGTTTGCCTTCAAGCACCCAGTGTATGCCAAATTATTTAATTCATACCTAGACCTCCAGGCAGCCTACATATATTCAACACTACGAGAAGTAAAAGCATAGCCCACAGCACTCAACTGAAGGTTCAGACCATCTTGGAAAAGGGGTGGGTGGGGGTATTCTTAGGCAGAAACTATGAACTAAATAAAAATTATCATTTGAGGAAAAAACTCAGTGGCTTTTACTCTAAGTGGCACAGATACTGTCCCTGAAAAGCAACTCGGGGAAGAAAGGGTTTGTTTGACTTGCGTTCTGATTACAGCCCATCACAGAGGAAAATCCGGCCAAGTGCTCCAGCCGGAGCAGAGATGGGAACCGTGGAGGGGCGCTGCTTACCAACTTGTTCCTCGTGGTTCACTCAGCTTGAGTTCTTATGCAACCCAGGACCGCTTGCCCAGGGAAGGCACCATCCACAGTGGGCTGGCACCTCCCACATGAGCCCGCAATCCACAAAATGTTCCACAGACCTGCCCACAGGCTGGCCTGATGGAAATAATTCTTCAGTTGTGACTCTCTCTTCACAAATGACCTCGAGTTTATGTCAAGTTGACAGAACCAATGCAGAGACTAAATTATATTTAAAATATATTTGAGGAATTATTTCAATTAGACAACACTATTTTTTTCCCCCTTAAAATGTTTGTTGGGCACATGGTACATGCCTGTAGTCCCATCAACACAGAAGTTAGAGGCAAGAGCACAGCTTTGCAACCTAGCAAATAGACTCGGATTTTAAAAAAGATTTATAGCTTGCTTGCCCCCGGGGTTTTCCTTTAAATTGATAATAAACGGTCCTCAAACTCCTATTTGTTTTCATTCTTAGATTATTTTAATAAGATTAAGAACCCCAGTGAGCCGGGCAGTGGTGGTGCACACTTTTAATACCAGCACTCAGGAGGCAAAGGCAGGCGGATCTCTGTGAGTTCGAGACCAGCCAGGTCTACAAGAGCTAGTTCCAGGACAGCCTCCAAAGCCACAGAGAAACCCTGTCTTGAAAAATAACAAGAAAAAAAGAACCCCAGTGAGGGGACTCTGATTTACCTAGGGCCCCACTGGGACTCCCTAGGATTTCTGGTGACATCTTCCTTGCCTTTTAATTCTTCAGTTGGCAGAGAAAACATCCCTGCAAAGGCATTAAAAGGATTCCATGTCCTACGATGGAGATACTTGCTCAAGCATGGATGGTGCTGCTCCATTCAAAGTATCTAGGGAGTGGAATCAGTCTACATGTCCACCAACAGAAGAATGGACCATGAGAGTGCACATATACATGTAAGGGTGTGGTAAAGAAATGACTGAAATGGCCACTCCGTGGTCGGGGGTGGGGTGGGGTGGGGTGGGGGAGAACAGCCAGGGACATCTGGAAGAGCCCAAATCGGAGAGAAAAACAGACTGGACACAGCCAGGGCTATCTGCTAGAGACTGGAGAATAGCGGGGCAGAGGGGAAAAAAAACCTTGCTTTTATAGAGAGAATAGATGTGTACCTGGCAGGAGCAGAGCCTGTGAGCTGAAACAGTTTGGGAGCTAGCATAGTGGAGGAGGAGTGGGTATGGGTGAGAGGGGCCCGGAGGCTAGGGTGGACACTGAGATGTATTCCAGGTACTTGTGGATAGGGGACTGTGGGGGCGGGGTCTGGAGGCTAGCATGGACTTTGAAATGCTGACGGGTTCTGCAGGTATATTCCCACAGAGAACCATTTGTCCCTTCTGCCAGAGGCAAGGGGAACGACTCCTTTCTGCCATACAAGGAGTCACAAATTCTGTCTTTAAGTGACCAAAATCTTTCTACAGTGCATCTTGATCTGAACCTAGACTCAATATTGGACTAAGTTAGTGGCCTGCCCTTTGGGGGTGCTTGGGGTTGAAAGACCCCCAGAGTGGGGAGACCCTCACTCAAGTCTTGGGATAAGCCGACGCCCCAATAATTCAAGAGAGACTGTTCTTGATGCAAGCACACGAGGTTTATTCGGGGAACCAGTGCACTGGGGCGGAGCTCATAACCCTCGCAGGGGCAGAGGAGTTGCAGGGGCAGAGGAGTTCGACCCCCTATTAGCTGCAGCCGGGTTTTTTTTAAAGGGAAAAACCATAAAGAATGGGGGAGTTAGGCAAACATCAAAAAGGATGGGGAAGTTAGGTAAACATCATAAACATAAAGGATGAGGAAGCTAAATGATAGCTTATGTCTTAACAGGAAGGTTATCTCAAGCAAGCATTCTTTGGGCATCGTACAGTTAAACATTGAGCAGGAATGTGGTGAGCTAGTTCCTGGATCAGGGAGTGTTATCTTTTAAGTTTATCTTGAGGTCTCCAGTTTCTCAGGAGAGGGCAGAAGGACAAGTTACTCTGTGATGGGCTAGTTGCTAGGGGTCTAAAAATGTTGAGTTGGGATCTCTCAGGGTGGTCCCTTTGGACCTGATAATACATAATGGAACTTTATTCAGCTGTAAAGAAAAATGAAATCACGTAATTTTCAGGTAAGTGAACAGAATTGGGAAAGTATATATGGCAGTAACTCGGGTCTAGAAAGATGAACACTGATGACACCGGGAAGGTTTTCATCATAGATAGGAGGGAGAGACTTAACATGACCAGCAGACTGGACGAGAGAGAGAGAGAGAGAGAGAGAGAGAGAGAGAGAGAGAGAGAGAGAGAGAGACCAAATAGCAGAATTATACAGAGAATGGATGGAATGGAAGCCTTAGGGTCTGGAAGGAGCTAGGATGCTAACTTGGACTCTGAAATGGACAGCAGGTAATAACAGTACTGATGGAGCGCAGAGGCCAGCATGCTAATAGACACCAAGGACAGCCATTTGTCTCTCTCTGCCAGTGATAAGGGAAGTGGCAGAGGGGAACTGACTTCACAAGTTGCTGAGGCATTGCTGGCTTTTGTCTGACCACAATAATTTGGGGGAAATGGAGTTCCCTTGGGACCTAATACACTGCAAGTTTGCACCAATTAAAGCGGATCCTAGCTTGGAATCTTCGGAGTTGTGTGTTCAACTGAGAATACCCACAAAAGCCTTACAACTTAGGAAGGGACTATTGGTGTCCGGGGGGTACCTTTAGAGGGGGAAGATAATGTCACGGTGGCGATATGAAATACAGACACGGGGCAGGGGAGTTAAGCGGGCTTGAGAGGAGAGAGCGGTGGGAGGGTTAACGCTCAAGTTTTCCCCAAAGCATTTATTACTCAAAGCTGAGCTTCATTCAGTAAGGTGTAAGGAACACAGTAATAAATAAATAAACAAATAAACAAATAAATAAAATGCCTCTTAGACAACGCAAAAAATAGCTTGGTGAGGAGGCTCCCCTGGACCCAAGGCTGCGCCTCAACCAGAGAAGCCAGGGACATGGCTCACCCCAGCAGGCGCCCACTGGACAGGACACAAAGGAGAGGCCGAGAGCCCTGCTGTGCCCTGCACATCTGGAGAGAGCGCCGCCTACATCTGCCCTGCAGCTGAAAGAGCCTCCCCTCCCCACCCCAGGATCCTGACCCCGGAATCAGAGACTAAGGTCAGAGTTAGGCAGGTGAGCAGCAGCCTTGGGGAGGTGAGGCTCGGGTGATGATGACTCTCGGCCAAAGACAACCTAACTTTGGTCAGGCCAAACAAACAGCTGCCGTGTCCGCGTCTACCTTCCCGCTCGAGACATAGGGAACTCACTCCTGGGAAAGCCTGGTGAGCCCGGACTTCATAGATAAAGAAGACAGAGGACGCAGCCCCCTAGGGAGAGCTTCAGCGAGCCGGTGCAAAAAAAAAAAAAAAAAAAAAGCGAGTGCGCATGCGTGCCCGCAGCGCCCGGGCCACGTGACTGCGGGCTCCTGGTGGCGCTGTCCGCCGCGTTTAGGGTCCGGCGGCGAACGAGGACGGGGTGGGCGGGAACTTTCCTCCTGGAGGGGCGGGGGGGAGGCGGGCTCGGCGGCGCGCCAGGGCGAGCGGGAACGCCCCCTTTCCCGGTCCCGCGGGGCTCGGCACGCAGGGTTCCCTTGGCCGACTATGGCCCACTATGCCGCGGGCGGTGCGACTCCCGCGGTGCCTCCGAGGTCCCCGGGAGCTGGCAGGAAGGGGCTGTCCCGGAAGGGGCCCGGGGAGCGGCGCAGGCTGAAGGCGGTGGTGTCGGAGCAGCTCCGCAGCGACGTGCTCAGGTAGGAGGCGGGCCCAGCGCGGCTCGCTCGCTCGCTCGCTCCCTCCCTCCCTCCCTCGCAGCCTCGCTCCGGTCCCGAGGCACCTGTGGGGCGCTCGCCCAGCTCCCAGTCTCCCGAAGAGGCTTTGCCCCGTCTCGAGCGCCGCGGACACCCCCCCGACACACAGACACACACCGTGTTAAAACCACAGTCTCGTGGGTGGCAGCACCAGCTCTTGGGGCCCGTGGTTGAGGTCGGACTGCGTTCAGGCCCGGAAATGTGAAACCGTGTCTTTTATAAAAGTTGTAAGAAAACGAGACAGTTAAGGAAGACGAGTTGTTGGCTTGGAACGAAGGACAGAACGCCGTGTCACAGCTACCAATTAAGTCCTAGTCTGCCATTAAGCACCGCCACCACACACACACACACACACACACACACACACACACACACACACACTCCTCTTAATCAGGAATAGCCTTATTCTGCCAGGTGGGAGAAATGACCCCCGGTGACCGCAGTTCTCGAAGAACCCCGCGGGTGTATTTGAAATAATTCTGGCCGTATCTTTTGGTGTGCAAAAGCCTCGACTGCCCGGCCCGAGTGGCCAGACTCGCGGTCTCTTTGTCTCTGTTCAAAGTACAGCCTGGGGCTGGGGAATGACAGCGGTTGTGAAAAGCGTTAGCCTGAGGTGTGTGCATGTTAGTAGAGTCTGTTCAAGGCCAGCTCTTCCTTGGGCACTAATTAGCCATAGCCAGACCAAGTGCTACCACTTGGTCCCCAGATTATCATAGACTATCCCTGTAGAAGTTACCCTGTTTAACTAACATATTAAGCTAATGTTGGCTCAGATACAGTCCAGTTCAGATGAGGTGAAGGTATTGGGATATATGGTAAAAAGCAGAGTCATATAAGTAGATTTGACTGTGTCCTGGCTAGTTTTATGTCAACTTGACGCAAGCCTGAGTCATCTGTCAGATCCAGCTGCAGGGCATTTTCTTAATTAGAGATGGATGGGGGAGGGCCCAACCCATGGTGGGTGATGCCATCCCAGGGCTGGTGGTCCTGGGTTCTGTAAGAAAGCAGGCTGAGCAAGCCAGCGAGAGCAAGGAGTAAGCAGCACCCTCCATGGCCTCCGCATCAGCCCCTGCCTCCAGGTTCCTGCCCTGTGTGAGTTCTTGTCCTGACTTCTTTAGTCAGGAAGTGTGATCCAAACAAACCCTTTCCTCCCCAGGTTGCCTTGGTCATGGTGTTTTATCAGAGCAGTAGTTAACTAAGACAGACTGTTTTATCTGGGCGACGTTTGTGGTGATGGCAGACAAAACGGCAGCATGTGAGGGTGAGTGGATAGACTAAAACGGTAGATAGTAGAGCCTTCCTTCTCTGGCATGGATTCTGGAGGTAGTTTATAGAACTGTTAGTGTTTCTAAAATGAATTAATGTCTAGATCTTGACTTTGGGAAAAGAAAGGTCAGAAACAAGTCAGCTAGGACTTTTGGTAGTTGAGGATTCCGTACTGACAGCAGGAATGGAAAAGCTAACAGGTTGTTACTGAATACAGGTGGCTGAGCTGGGAAAGGGAACAGCAGAAAATGGCTCCGAGTCTTAGGGCAGTTGAAAAGGAACCATATAACACACATTCAGGAGGCTCCACCCATGAGACAACCAGAAGT